TTATATATAAATACACACACATACAGTATATATTTTGAAAATATTTACATGTATATGCATTTATATATTTATATTCTTATATTTTATATTATATATAAATACATTTAATATATAAACATAATATATATTTCTTAGATATTTACATGCATGTTTGTATTTATATATACATAATTAATGTACACAGTACACACACATATTATTTACATTTACATTTAATAATTTAGCAGATGCTTTTATCCAAAGCGACTTACAAATGAGGAGAACAATAGAAGCAATCAGACGAACGAGAGAACAACAGTACACAAGTCTCAGTTAGTCTAGCACAGCACACATAGCTAGGGTTTTTATTTTTTTAATAGAATGGAATAGAATAGAACAGAATAGAATAGGTAAGTGCTAGTATTAGTTGGTCAGGTGCTGGCAAAAAAGATGTGTCTTTAGTTGTTTTTTGAAAATTGCTAAAGACTCAGCTGCTGGGATTCAGATCGGCAGGTCGTTCCAGCAGCTGGGAACAGTCCAGGAAAAGGTCCGTGAGAGTGATTTTGAGCCTCTTTGAGATGAACCACGAGGCGTCGTTCACTTGCAGAACACAAGCTTCTGGAGGCGCACAAGTCTGAACTAGCGAGTTTAGGTGTATTGGTGCAGCGCCAGTGGTGGTCTTGTAGGCAAGCATCAGTACCTTGAATTTGATGCGAGTGGCTATCGGTAGCCAGTGTAACCTGATGAAGAGAGGTGTGATGTGAGCTTTCTTCGGCTCGTTCAAGAGCACTCTCGCTGCTGCATTCTGGATCATTCTGGATCAGTTGCAGAGGCTTGTTAGTACATGTGGGAAGGCCCGCCAAGAGAGCTTGAATTTGATGCGAGTGGCTATCGGTAGCCAGTGTAACCTGATGAAGAGAGGTGTGATGTGAGCTTTCTTCGGCTCGTTCAAGAGCACTCTCGCTGCTGCATTCTGGATCATTCTGGATCAGTTGCAGAGGCTTGTTAGTACATGTGGGAAGGCCCGCCAAGAGAGCATTACAATAGTCCAGTCTGGAGAGAACAAGAGCTTGGACAAGGAGTTGTGCAGCTTGCTCTGACAGGAAGGGTCTAATCTTCCAAATGTTGTATAAGGCAAATCTGCAGGACCGGGCCGTTGTAGCAGTATGGTCTGTGAAGATTAACTGATCATCCATCACAACTCCAAGGTTCCTGGCTGTCCTGGAAGGAGTTATGTTGACGAACCCAGCTGTATAGAGCAGTTGTGATGAAACGATGGGTTTGATGGAACCACAAGCAGTTCTGTCTTAGCAAGGTTGAGATGAAGGTGATGATCCTTCATCCAGCTAGAAATGTCTCTCAGCAATACGAGCAGCTACCGTCGGATCATCTGGTTGGAATGAGAAGTAGAGTTGAGTGTCATCAGCATAGCAGTGATAAGAAAAGCCATGCTTCTGAATGACAGATCCTAATGACGACATGTAGATGGAGAAGAGAAGTGGTCCAAGCACTGAGCCTTGAGGAACCCCAGTAGCAAGAAGTTGTGACTTAGAAACCTCACCCCTCCAAAACACCCTGAAGGACCTACCAGAGAGGTAAGACTTGAACTACAGGAGTGTGGTTCCTGAGATGCCCATCTTCATGAGGGTGGACAGGAGGATCTGGTGGTTAACTGTGTCAAAAGCAGCAGACAGATCCAGCAAGATGAGTACTGAGGATTTGGAAGCTGCTCTTGCCAGTCTCAGGGCTTCAGTAACCGAGAGCAGGGCAGTCTCAGTTGAGTGGCCGCTTTTGAAGCCAGATTGGTTGCTGTCCAGGAGGTTGTTCTGTGCAAGAAACATAGAGAGTTGGTTGAACACAACTCGCTCAAGTGTCTTTGCAATGAACGGAAGAAGGGAACCAGTCTGTAGTTTTGGGTTTAGAGAGGGTTTCTTAAGCAGTGGGGCAGCCTGAGCCTGCTTGAATGCTGTGGGAATGTACCAGTGTGAAGAGAGGTGTTGATAATGTGAGTGAGCGCGGGTGTAACTGAAGAAGAAATGGCCTGAAGGGGGTGAGTGGGGATAGGATCAAGTGGACAAGTAGTAGGATGATTGGAAAGAATAAGTTTGGAAATGTCCGTCTCCGAGAGTGGAGAGAAGGAGGAGAGAGAGTGTATTAGTCGTTATGAAGTTATCATCGGCTTGTGGTGTGGAGAATTGGTCAATGATGTTTCTTGTTTTATTTATGAAGAAAGTCATCAGTTTACATCATATTACGTAAACAAAAACTTTTATTTTGGATGCGATTAATCACGATTAATCGTTTGACAGCACTAATATCAATATGACATAAAATAATAATATTAACCATAACAGCAATAACAATAATAATATTTATTATTATTATAATAATATGTTTTAATATACAGTAGTACTACTACAAATAATGATTATTAATGACATGATTATTATTTTATTTATGATTATTATTATTATTATTAATAATAAATAAGCAAAATAAAAAAAATACTACTACTATTGAAATATTTCCCTGTAAAATAATAATTATTTTAAAACTGTAAAGTTACAATACTAATATTTGCAGCCTTAATTTATTAATTTATAAACAATGAACTTTGAAGACTAAAAATGGTGTAAAAATTGTGCAAAAAAAAAAAAAACATTTCTCCCACAAGTGATCAAGTTATTCAACAAAACATTTTTTGTATGCCTTTGTGTGTATGTGTGCTGTAAATGATTTTTATTTCTAAAAATGTGTTAAGAAAACAAATGTCTCTACGGAGATAATAAAGAACTACTCTCAAGATTTTATTTTGATGGTAAACCCTTAAAGCTTCTCTTCTGCTGATAAGCGCTTCTCGTTACATGTTTGTGAAGACTGTTGGTTAAAGTTTGGTTCTTAAATGTGCTTTTATAGCGCCTCAAACTCAGAGCCACTGCAGATGGAGCTCCTGAGGATGATTTACAGTGAATCGAGACGCTGAAAACGACGGATCATGACCTGCTGGTGTGCAAATGAACACAGTACCTCTAGCGCAGCGACGTCATTGTACGGGACCAGCTCAAATCCAGGCATGAAGGGACCGAAACCCTCGTAACTGCTGGGGTCCGTCGAGCTAGAAATAGCTGCCATCGTCCGGCCCCAGAAATTCCCCGCTGTGAGAGCGAGAAACACAGGCGCTGCTTCAAACTGACACACGTGTGCAACATAACATTAATATATCAACCTTTCAGGCATCTGAGTCATAGAAGACTTCATGGATAATCAACCTGTTACAAATAAATTCTCTCAAAGTGTTACATAAACTTATTGACTAAGATCAAACAAATCGTGTCTCATCATTCCTGAACATGCACACTACCAGTCAAAACTTTTTGAACAGAAAATGTGTTAATGTTTTTTAGAGAAGTCTCTTCTGTTCACCAAGGCTGCATTTATTTGATCCAAAATACAGCAAAAACAGTAAAACTTTGAAATATTTGTACTATTTAAAATATGTTTTCTATGTGAATCAGCATATTAGAATGATTTCTGAAGATCATGTGACACTGAAGACTGGAGTAATGATGCTGAAAATACAGCTGCGCATCACAGAAATACATTACAGTTTAACAGATATTCACAAAACAGCTATTTTAAATAGTATAAATATTTCAAAATTGTACTGCTTTTGCTGTACTTTGGATCAAATAAATGTAGGCTTGGTGAACAGAAGAGACTTCTTTAAAAAAACATTAAAAACCGTACTGTTGAAACACATTTGACTGGCAGTGTATAAGCCTGTGTAAGTGAGGTGGACTGTGAGCTGCTGTCTCACCTGCAAACACGATCTTTGCCTCATATTTCGGGACGCCCTTGACCGTGTACGCCCACTTACGAGCCAGTTTACAGGCCGTCTCTCCACCCTCCACACCTTCAACACAAGAGCAGGGTTACAGCACTGTTCTAACCGTCAGTCATGTCCTGTGTTTTGACGGCTGAGGCTGTACCGGTGTTCATGGGCAGCACTTTATCGTATCCGAACAGGCCGGTGATGTACTGCTCGTAGACACCCAGCACGTCGTTGTAGAAGGCTCTGGAGGTGAGTGTCAGCCGCGAGGCCTGCGCCGTCAGCGCCGCGATGATCTTCGGGTGGCAGTGACCCTGGTTAACAGCGCTGTACGCACTCAAGAAGTCAAAGTACCTGCGGCCCTCCACATCCCACACATGAACCCCTGCAACACGCCGCAGAAACACTGATCAGAGACGTCTGACTCACACAAACCAGATATTTCAGTTTTCACGTGTATGCATGCAGTGCGTGTGCTGGAGGGAATGCACACTGAACACATGCAGACTTGAGTGTTTTTGCACTCATTATTTACAACGAAGCAAAAACAAAATATGAAGAAGAGAATTAGCCTTTTTCACAAAAATCTGAAATCACGTCTGCGCAGGGTAAAGTTAGTTCTGTTACAGGTCTGCGGCTATTATATACGTATGCCCTTTTCTCAAATAATGCTTCTTAGCTTTTCTGTTTTGTCTGTTTTACAAGTTGTTGTTATATAATCTACAAAGAAATAACATGTTTGTAACTTATTGGTCACTCAGACCGCTGACTCGCTGTGAGATAACACGCTCAACACGCTCCAGCAAAGACCCTTTTTATTTAGTCTTTGATCTCCGGTACATTTGAGTGCATCTCAGTTTACTCCGTCATTTCCCTCGAATCACCACATCATGACAAATTACTTAAAAATTACAACATTTATGTCCAGATGCACATTTTTCAAAGAATACATTAAACAATTCTAACTGAGTCCGGTTGAAGAATATTAAACTCAACACAACAACGTAATCTGATACAATAGGAATAAAGTCATGAATATGTATTTCCCAGGGCGCATAATGCAACGTACATTTATGCCATCACATTAATAATGCAAAGGAGAGCAAGTAGAAAATACAATATTACTTTAATAATAATAATAGCAAAAAAAATTAAAGTGGAGTGTCATAATGCACCAAACGGACAGAAGGGCGAAACTAACTGAATTATAATTGCCATCATTTAGAATTAAACAAACTTGTATTTGATGACCCGAGCTGACCAAACAGTTAATTGTGAAATGTTTGCGCTTTGTAGTGTAATGTACCTGCAGTTCAAGCATTTTCATAATATCTCATTCGTAAAAAAACACTTTGCTTCTCGAACTCATTCTTGTTGAGTGCAGCCGCTGTTGTCACCGGAACAACTTTTACCCAGCAAGCACCAGTCCAGAAGCCAGAAACACAGAAGTGTGAAAAAGGCTAAATGACAAAATAAAAGCAAACTATTGGAGATACAGTGCATGTTGTGAACGTGAGGCAGAGATGCACGCAGCTTCCAGAAAAAAGTCATAATTGCGAGAAAAAAGTCCGAATTGTGAGAAAAACGTCCGAATTGCGAGAAAAAAGTCCGAATTGCGAGAAAAAAGTCCGAATTGCGAGAAAAAAGTCCGAATTGCGAGAAAAAAGTCCGAATTGCGAGAAAAAAGTCCGAATTGCGAGAAAAAAGTCCGAATTGCGAGAAAAAAGTCCGAATTGCGAGAAAAAAGTCCGAATTGCGAGAAAAAAGTCCGAATTGCGAGAAAAAAGTCCGAATTGCGAGAAAAAAGTCAGAATTGTGAGAAAAAAAGTTAGAATTGCGAGAAAAAATCTGAATTGCGAGAAAAACATCAGAATTGCGAGAAAAAAGTCAGAATTGCGAGAAAAAA